TCATACAAGTAAACTACATTTCCTCTTAGAAAAGTAGGACAATGACGATAATCAGCCCCATTATGAATGTCCTATGAAAAGTTGCATAATGCCTAGCCCCGATACACAAAGAAAGATTTTGCCATCATCTTGAGTAGACAATAGTGGGTATATAGTGTACGTGCGTCTAAGGCTGCAAAATCTTAAAGCGAAAGTTCAATTAATAATTAAAATTCTGGCATCATTTACCCTCCTTGGTGTTTTGAGTTAATGATACAAGAAGAGATTTACAAATGACATCTAATTCACAAAAGAATCAATGGATCCCGTCTAAATGATTACTGTATTTCTCGAATCAGACTGTTCAGAGCTGCGTTTCCCAAAATCATCAGGAGGCTAAGTAGACTTTGAACACAGTGCTCACTTATTCATAAAATAATATTATGATGCTTTTATGGTGAGAGTAAATGACAACCGAATTTTCATTCTTGGATTAACTATTTCTTTAAAGTATGGAATAGAAAGAGGGTGTGGATGTGTCAGGTCCACCTGGTTTTCATGGCAAGGGCCCTGGCAGTACTCTGTCAGGCTCTCCACAGTCTGGTTTATGAGAGCGACATTCTTCTCGTTAATATAAAGCCCCAGCAGCCCCAGACCTCCTGTAGTGCTGCCACATATACAATCCAGGAACTGCAGTGTCTCACACACCAAGTTGTAGTTGTTTTTGTTGTTCTGGCAGCGAAGGAAGTTCTAGAGAACAAGTGAGAAAAACAGGAAATGAGGGACATGCTTTTGTATTTATAAGTCATATTAGAGCAAAAGGAAGCACAGACAGAGTCAATATATAACTCTTAGTATGATATGGAATAGGATTTAGATTAAACCAAGAATCATAATTCTTTGGACCAAAAAGGCGTTTCAGATTTCTTTCATATGTATTTTTTTCTTCAAGGACGTTGAGAATGTCAGATCGAAGAGGTAAAATTATAAAAACATGTTTATGATGTAACCATCCGCATGATGGGGTTATGTAAAAAGTTAAAACTACAAACATTAGGTAAGCAAGGAAATAATTCTAAAACAATTCACCAAGTAGTTAATGAAAAGCTAATTGTGAAACTAGCATGAGAATCTTCTTTAAAAGATAAAAAAAATCAGTTTTTCTTGCATTGTACTATTGAAACGGTTCAGTATTGAATACAATATATACATTAGATTTTAAAAAAGTTTCTTTATATATTTACGTTGTATTGCTGTAAACATCTGCAGTGTGATGTAATGTAAAAAGTTCAAGATGCAAACAATAAGCAAGGAAGGAAATCATTCTGAAACAATTGACAAAATGATTAGCTAATTATTTTGAAACTAGCATGAAACACGTCTTTAGAAGCTATACCAAAACTGAGAGACATTTCTCACATTCTGCAGTCTGGCTTTATAAATAAACTCCATTTACTTTCCTAAACACACATTCCTAGTCTTACTGTGTACAATTCATCAGTGCATGTTATTTGACAGAAATTAAATGCTGTCTTCACAACCTTTTATTGTAATATTTTAACCTTTTAAGCTAACAAAGCTTCTGAACCTTTAATTTCTGGTATCCACTTTTCCCAATTTAATCAGTTGCTGATGGATGAAATTAAGCACCTTCCTACAGTTTTTTCTCAAATATCCCTTTTCACTGAGAAAAACACCACATTAGGGAAATAAAACGGCTTGCAAATAACATTTCATGTTGAGTTGAATGAATATGAACATACAGTTCCCTGGAGAAATAACCAATAACTACATGTAAATACAGCTGGATAAGCTACTTTTTTAGTTAGCAACATTTGGGAAACTTAGTTAGCACTATCAATGCTAGTTTTCTCAAAATATTCTCTAGTACAGCAGCTGACCTGCAGTTCACGGTTGTGGTTCTCACAAAGGAGCTGCAGAAGGCGCAGGATTGGCTGCATGGTGGTTATGATCACGCTCATCTCATTGTCATCCTGGTTCTTCTCTCCTGTGCTGCTCTGCCCCTCTGCCACATTCAGATGCTCATCTGCGTCTGCCTCCCTTCGGTAAGTGGTGAAGGCCTTCTTAGTGGCCGTAGAAGCTTCAATAAGTTGCTCTCGCACTTCCTCGGTTACTACAGCAACCTCCTTGACTGAAAAATGGGGAGTGTTGTATTTGTTTAGTACGATATGCTTTTGCATCATGGTATAATTGTATACATTATAATCACGTGTAGTGGTATGTGTAGTTTATGGTCAGTCGTGCTGAGCCCTGACCTTTCTTGCGTGTTTGGGTGTCCTTGTCGTTGGCATCCTCGTCTTTGCGCTTGCTGCCCAGATCACTGGTGTTCACCATCACAGTTGCCTTTATCTCTTGCTGGGCCAGCTTCATCCGCTCGTAAAACACTTTAAAGAACTTCTCTGACTTACTGTCGCCTGTCAGACGGCAGAAAAATGACCGCTGGAGGGATAGGTAGGAAAAAAAAAAAAAAAA